TTTTTTTTTTTTTTTTAAGAGTTCAGGCCCTTTTTTGTATACTATTCGTGGAAAGTACCAGATAATAAACTTGTTATTTAAATAAATGTGAAGAGCTGACTAAAGTGGTACTAAACCAAGGACACATTGTTCTTGAGTTGGCTTACATGAATGTCTGTCCCTGTCCGAAGACACAGGATGTCCCCCAGTCCCAATTAGTCATGTCTCACAGTATTTAAATTCATAAACTCAGACTTTGAGGTAGTGACTCAGCACTTCTTCTGTAATATATCAAATTAGTCTATGCTCATCCCTATCTTTCCTATCTCTTCCTGCAGGGAAGAAGGGATGTCAGCAGCAGCATGAAATACGTGGAGCTGATGGTGGTGGCCGACCATGCAGAGGTAAAATCTCTTAAAGGTGCAGTAGGACATCTTGGAAAATGCTAACTTTAGCCTGAAAGTACTGAAAGCGAACGTCCCACCCTCCCTGCAAATCGTCGTCCAAAACCACGTCTCCTGAACGCATATACGCCCACAGACCAGACGACCAGAGACAACATTACTACAATACATCATATGTCATTAACCGGTGAGAAAACTTTATAGTACAGTTAGTAACAGTATTACAATACCAGGAAGGAAGATCAGGTTGTTGATGTTTGCCTGCCGTTCTCTCTAGTTGCTCTGTCTGCATTGCATACGTGAATGTGCTGTTGACATATCCTGTCTGCGTGAACCGGGTGCGCAGAGGTATGCAAATACATATGTTGACAGGCAGGTAGGAAAGTCAATAAAAATGCTCGGAACGAGCGTTTTGATCGGACGAACATTTCTTGGTCCTACGCCTTCCACAGAATATATAAATACAGATAAATACATTTAGACAACTTAACTTAATGATTGCTATCGGGATGTGAAGAGACTTTCAACCAGAATAACAAAAAATGTTTCTGAAGGCAATCACCTATTGCACCTTTAACTTCAGGTATCTGCTGAAAAGCAGGGGTTTCTTGGGGAGCTTTGGGAGATGAGAGAGACTCTTGTCTTATTCACATAGTGTAGATTAACTCAAACAGACGGCCAATAGACTCTGCTCAACAGATTAAAAAAATATATATAGAAACACCACGTTTGAGATGTTTAATCAGTTTCAAACTGCTTCAGGTTAAAATGATTCAGACAGTTTGTTCTTCTTTTAATCAGCATTTTTTGTAGGTCATATTTATCACAATTATAACCAGCTGGTTGCTATGGATAAAACTGTCTGGTAAATAACAATGACAGTTACCTTACAGCTCTGGAGCTTCAGATCTTGTCTGTTTGTTGACTCACTCCACTGTACCTCAGCAGATAAAACTCGTTTCCTGTCATGACTCATGATAGAATCATCTCATCATCAACACTTACGTCAGTGGTTCTCAACTGGTTTGGCCTTGGGACCCACATTTTCCCATGGTCGTCAAGGCGCGACCCACTTTGTTAATACAATTAAGTTGGTATGAGCCACGCCACCACAGTCATTTAAACATATACAAAATGACACAAAGTGAAAATAACATGGTATTTTTGGGTTATGGAAACAACAGTTACCATGGTCAATATACAATACTAACATGAACTGTTAATGAAACGTGGAAACTGCCCCTGAGTAGAATGAATATCATACCTTCATGCAAATCGTTACCAGCTAACACACACAGTACCAGTTATGTGATTTATCTGTACTGTACTTTTTTCATGCGTTGCATGCTCGTAGTTTCTGCGCTTTAGTGAAGTGATATACTGTGCGGGCGACCCAGACCTGGGTTGCGACCCACCAGTTGAGAAACACGACCTACGTGACACAAAATTAATTTCAGCCATCTGAGGTCAAAGATGCATCCTAATAGTGTCTCTTTTTCAGTTCGTGAAGCACGGTCGGGACCTTGAAAGGACCAAAACAAAGCTGCTTGAAGCAGCTAACTTTGTGGATAAGGTGAGATTGCCTACTATTAAACACACTTTTATCATTTACCTGCTTCTGGACTCTTAATATATTATGTGATTTGATGTTCCTAGTATTACAAATCACTGAACATCCGTGTGGCTCTGATCCGGTTGGAGATCTGGAACGATCAAGACAAGATCACTGTGACCGACAACCCCTACAGCACCCTGGGTGCGTTTCTGACCTGGAGGAGGAAACAGCTGCCACAGCTGCCCAATGACAACGCTCAGCTAGTAACGTCAGTCTCGCTGTAGCTCCTCCCACCTAATTAACATATGATCAGATAATAATGATCACTGATAATGATCTTGATTATAGCTTTAAAAGGGTCATAAACTGAAAAAAATTAATTCCCTTGATCTTTTGACATAAGAGGTCATTGTACTTTAAAAACATCCAATTAAGTTTTAGAACTCAAAACTTTCTCGTTAGTCTAAAAACAGCTTATATTGAAGCCAGTCTGCCAAAACGACAGCTTGTGGAATGTGCAACTCTATGAAGTAATAGTGTGGCTAAACACAGACTCCGCAGAAGATGATCAATGCCTGCTTCTACATTGCTGCCTGTTTAGCCCCGCCCACCAATTTGCACCTGTAGTGTTTATGAGAGATGCAAACGCAGGTCTATGCAGAACCCAAAGGATAAACTTTATTTTATGAACTTTATTCTTAATGAAGTTCGAGACTGCGTCAGTAAGAACTTGGTCCTTCGTTCACTTAATTTTACTGTGGATTCGTTTGCAAACAAGGCACAATTCAACGTGGGATTTTCAGAAATATTGAAACTAAAAGACAATGCTTGGATCCGACAGTAATGTCACACCACACAAGTGCGAGTAACTGTTTTTATTACGTGGTCACTATTGCTTTGTCTGTTATTACAGATCGTTTGATATGTACTGAGTATTTGTGTTTTTAATCAAAAACACAGCAGAGTCCATCTATGAAAGATATAGGCTGTCAAACATACACAACTGTTAGCCAATCATAGCAGTGTGCGTTTACTTCAGAGTCTACAATCTGCCACGCCTGTTCAAACAGAGCGTTCTGATGAGGGAGGTCAAAACAGAACAGAAAATAGCTTATTCTAAATTATGATGGTTTTTGATGTAAAAATCTTGGTAACATAATAAGTGATTGTAAGTTCATTATAAGTTATATAAGTTATAAGTTCAAGTGTAGCCGTACATGAAGCTTTCTGTTGGTCAACCCGGCAAATTCAAAAAGAAACAACTTGAACGTGATATGAAATCTGTGTGTGGAAATCTTTTGCCCTCACAACTCAAGAATATGAATCACTTTGATAATTGTGCAATAACAATAATTTGCTGAACAATGGTAAAAGTGAACGCACTGCAAGGTTGCCAGGTTTTCACAACAAAACCCACCCAATGGCTACTCAAAACTAGCCCAATGGCGTTTCGAGGGAGGTAAAAATCGCGTTCCGGGGGGTAAAATACATGTGTTTTTGGCGAGGTTCCCTGTTGCAGAAAGAAAGCTGCAAAGAAACCGCAAAAAGGACATAAAAGTATCATAAAAGTAGTCCATAATGCTCTATAATCCAAATCTCCTGAAGCAATTTCATAAAGTTGTGTGAGAAACAGATAGTGCTTCCTCTCCAAGAACATAAGGGAAGCTAGGGGGAAATTCATTCATTACAAAATAGTACATAGATACTATTATACACCATCTAGACTTTACAGGATGGGGATAGCTATATAATCTATGTTGGAAATGTAAGGAAGAAGAGGGCACTTATTTACATATGATTTGGGGAATGTTCTTTAGTTCAGCCATTCTGACGTAAAATTCTGAGAATACTTGAAGAGTGGTTGGGCTTTAATTTACCTGTGGAACCACAAATATGCCTTCTTGGAGATAAATCAGTTGTACCTAATATAGAAAAAAATGCATTTACCCTTATTAAGATTAGTTGTATCGCAGCTGCCAGGATGATCTTACGCAATTGGAAATGCCCCAAAACCCCTGATTTGAAAGATTTGATCCATGGGATGATTGAAATTGCATCATATGAGTGCATGTTGGGGAGACTGCAGAGTGAGGGAGAAATGAAAAAAACATGGGATCATTTTTGGCAGCATATAAAAATGGTGTGATGAGCAGGACTTCTTAACAACTGTTTAATTTACATGTGCTTTGTTTTGTTACATTCATGGTGACAAGTGGCTGAATATGTAATTGATTGGAAAGGTGAATATGGAATACTGTGGTGATGTACGAAGTTATGATTGTTGAACAATAAAAAAGTTGAATTACAAATTTAAAAAAAAAAAA